GCAGTTAAAGGGGTCTCAAAACTGATTATTTCTGCAGTGTGTTTTGTATCTATATTACACATACTGTATTTTATTATGTGAGCAGTTGTATTTTTCTGATGAACTTATTATCCATATTAAAATGCCTTGTTGGCTTGCAACAGAACTCTGAGCAAGACAAATGCTTAACACTGTACTTACTAGCATCCAACCTATTTAATTTCATTTGTCCACTGTAGAGAAATTCAGGTGGAAAACCCTTTCAACATTTGCACTGTGTCCTCAACCAGCCTAATGTGTTTGCGGTCCTTTTCATCTCTAAGAAAAACCTCCTCCCCCAGCTCTGGGTGCAAATCTTGTCTGCTGCCACTCCAAGAAAAAAAGGACTTTAGAGGGATCCATCCTATCCCTCTCTTTGCAGTGAGAACAGGCTGCCAAGTAGACACACTTCTTGAAGGGGAACAGCAAACGTGATGTTGCTCAATGTGTATCTTAGGCATGCTCAAAATGGAGGACATCTTCCTGGACAGAAGGCTGAAATGTAGGACATTTCCTGGAAAAGGAGGACAATATGGTTTCAGGAGTAATGATGTTTGTGGCAAAAGCCACCCAGAACTTTTCCAGTTTGACAGTCTTACAATTCTACGAATTCGAAATTCTATTAATTCCAAAGAATCTTACAGGTAAAATGTAGGACGTAATTTCAACATAAGAACAATGTATAAACAAACGGCAGTTGTCACAACAAACGATGCTGCAGTGGTAAATTCCTAAGGTCCACAATTACTACAGCCTCCATAGCAACACTACATGGGAGACATCCAAAAATACAAGCAACAAGGCTAATCCAAATTAAGAAAGTAGTTCTATTTTCATCCCTATCAGATGAATGCATCATATATTTTGTGCATTTTGGTTGGCAGCATAAAGGTATCACTGTGCTGTGGATTGTGGATGTTGTTGTACTTTGCTATATTATAGCCAACAAGGCTACCTCTCAATACGTTTTGAGCTAGAATGGGTTAGAAAAATAGTTTGCCTTCCCTCTGCAAGTAGATAACCAAATCATAACCTGTCCATGTGGACCCCTTCCCATCTTAAAAATAGCTCTGAGGATATTGCAAACAGGTTGGTTTCTACCGCCTGTGCAAACAGTTTAAAAAGCAAACACATTTTCTAAGGACAGAGAAGAAAAGCAGTAATATTTTCAATGCAATGATAGGCCCAAGCTGCACTGCTGAATTTCTACCTGATACAGAGAGGAAGGCAAAGCTATCTTACTGCAGAGGCTTCTCGGCAAAGATGGAAAACCAAACACTCCTTTATTTCAGGGTCTAAGCCGTGAAACTGATGACAGGCGTAAGCTGTATCTGTTGAATTCCAACCTGCTATGTAGCAGGAGGCAAGGTAATCTCACTGCAGATGCTTCTCTGCCAAGATGGAAGGCCAAGCACTCCTTTTTTTACCCTCTGAGGGGTGAAACCAATAATGGGCTCAAACTGCACCTGTTGTCACATAGTCAGAGGCAAAGGAATCTTAATGAAGAGGCTTCCCTGCAGTGATGGAAGACCAAACACTCCTCTGTTTCAAGGCATAAACAGTGCAACTGATGATGGACCAAGCTGCACCTGTTGAATTCCAACCTGCTACAGAGGAGGAGGAGGCGGCGGCAGCGAAGGCGAAGCCATCTCTCTGCAGAGGCTTCTCTGCAAAGATGGGAGACGAAGGGCTCCTTTTATTCTGGGTCTGAATAATAATAATTACAACAACAACAACTATGATGCACCTGTTGAATTTCAACCTACTACAAAGGAAAAGCAAAGCAACCTTACTGCAGAGGCTTCTCTGCAAAGATGGAAGACCAAGGGCTACATTTTCAGAGTCTGAGCAGTGCAAATAATAATAATAATAAT